AATAAAATAAATAATAAAAATTTAAAATCGTATAAAATCTGTAATATTTATATTTTTTAAATAAAATTTTAAATTTGTTGATAAATTATAGTGGAGTATAAATTGCACCACTTTAATTTGAATTATCTCAAATGGGGGGGCCAGAAGCCAGGTGAGGCGACACAAAAAACTAACTTTTTTCGCAAACTTCAATTTAAATTCTGTTTGCGCCGAACTTGTCTATTTAATGTCATAATAAACTATTATAAATTTGGTGTGGGTCCCATGTCTAATAACTGAGATATTGGTATACCCAAAATCCCCAATCCGCCACTGGTACAAGCTTTAGGTAGAGTAACCGAAAATGTACAAACTGTTGCTGATTGCTTTGCTTATTGTAATTTTTATCAAATTAATTTAATTAAAAATATGTTTAATAATATGTTAGATTTAATATTTTCAAATAATGTAAATGCTGCAAGTGAGATTGCCAATGAAACTCTACTAGTCAAATGTGATAACTACCATCCTGCTATTTGTATAAATGTTAAACTTTCTACTGAAGAGTTAATGAATTATGAATATGTCTATTCTGATTTTAAAAACACTGATTTAGACTCTTTTAATGCTCATTTGAGTATTATTAATTGGGATTTGGTGTTTTTAAACAATGATGTTAATATATGTTTGTCATCGTTTTATGAAATTTTATCCTATTTATTTGAACTGTACGTCTCAAAAAAAAGCGGTTTAAAAATAAATTTCCAGTTTGGTTCTCTAAAGATCTTAAGAATGTTATAATCGAAAAAAAAATTGCTCACAAAAGATTTAAACAAATTTCATCTAATAATAACTATGAAATATTTTCAAATTTAAGAAACCTTTGTAAAGAATTAACAAATGAATGTTATGTAAATTACATTAATTCATTAGAACTAAATATAGGCAATAATCCAAAAAACTTTTGGAACTATATTAATTCTAAAAAAAACAGTAATATACTACCATGCAGTATGAATTACGAACATAGTTATTCTGATGATCCTGAGAATATTGCTAACTACTTTGCAAAATTTTTTGGTTCAGTATATACTAACTCTAACTGTGATAATATACCTGATTTTTTCTGTGATAAAACTTTAAATTTAACAAACTGTGATATTGATGAAAAAGATGTCTTTAATGAACTTTTTAAATTAAATCCATGTAAAGGAACAGGACCGCATGGTGTACCTGCTTCGGTTCTGAAAAACTGTAGGTTTTCCCTGACTAGACCTATAACTATGTTGTTTAGGATGTCCTTAAACAATGGTGAAGTTCCCACAATCTGGAAAGAAAGTTATATCATCCCATTATTTAAAAATGGTAATAAATGTGATGTAACAAATTATAGACCAATTTCCAGACTATCTCAAATTCCTAAGCTATTTGAAAAAATAATAACAACAAAATTAACACCGTTGTTTAAGAATGTCCTTATTGAGCAGCAACATGGATTTTGCAGGGGTAAATCTACAGTTAGTAACTTAGTACTGTATAAGCATGATTTGTTAAGTGCTTTTGAAAGAAGGTGTCAAGTAGATGCCATCTACACCGATTTCTCTAAAGCATTCGATAGAGTTGACCATGGAATATTGCTAAAAAAGTTATTTTCCATGGGGATTTTTGGAGAAATGCATAAATGGTTAACAAGTTTTTTAAATGGTAGAACTCAAACTGTTTTAATTAATAATCGGTTTCGGTCAGTTAAAATAGCTGTATCATCAGGTGTACCACAAGGTGGTCATTTGTCCCAACTTCTTTTCAACTGTTTTATAAACGATATTTGTAGTAGGATAAAATTTTGTAAGGTACGAGCCCTAACCACAAAATGTTCGGACACTTAATAATTTATACAGAAATATTTTTCGTGAATACTATCTCAAAATTATTAGAGGTTATGAAAAATTCAGCTCATTTTAGCATATACCCCTCGAAGCGATTTTTATTTTTAAAAAGTTTACCTTTTATTTTTAGCTTTTAAAAAAAGGCTAACTTTTTAACTTTATTTTGTATGAGTAAAAAAAGTTATAAATGGGCCCATTAAAAAGAACATAAAATATTATACAAACCCTGAAAATTTGGTAAAAAATAAATAAGTTATAAAAAAGTATAAGTAATTTAAAAATGCTATTTTTAAAGAGTTTTTGCAATTTTCTTAGGAAACGGGAGATTTTGCAGATATATATATCGTTATAACTTTCTTGTTATTTATACAATTTTTACCAAATTTTCAGGGTTTGTATAATATTTTATGTTCTTTTTAATGGGGCCATTTATAACTTTTTTTACTCATACAAAAAAAAGTTAAAAAGTTAGCCTTTTTTTAAAAGCTAAAAATAAAAGGTAAACTTTTTAAAAATAAAAATCGCTTCGAGGGGTATATGCCAAAATAAGCTGAATTTTTCATAACTTCTAATAATTTTGAGATAGTATTCACGAAAAATATTTCTGTATAAATTATGAAGTGTCCGAACATTTTGTGGTTAGGGCTCGTATTATTGTTTGCAGATGACCTTAAATTGTATAGTGTAGTGTCCAGTTTAGATGACTGTAAAAAAATTCAAGTGGATATTAAGAATTTAGAATCTTGGTGCAGTGATAATTGTATGTCTTTAAATATTAGCAAATGCAAAGTAATAAATTTTTTTAGGATAAAAAATAAAATAAATTTTTTTTATAGTATTAATGATGTTATTTTAGAAAATGTAAATGTAATTAAGGATCTGGGTGTTTATTTTGATAGGTACTAAGGTTACGTTTAACGAACATATAAATATTATAAGTAATAGAGCTTTAAAAATGTTAGGTTTTGTTAAACGGAACTTAAAAGATTTTAATGATGTGATGTGTATAAAAAATGTGTATTTTTCATTTGTTCGAAGTATTTTGGAATATGGTTGTGTAGTATGGTCTCCTCACTACTTAACTTATTGTATGCAAATAGAAAAAGTACAAAATAAATTTTTAAGATTTTGTGCATTTAAATTAAATTTAATTATTGATGACTATGATTATGTACAATTGAGACACTTTATTAATGTTGATACCCTAAGCAAAAGAAGGGATAAATTTGATATGCATTTCCTATTTAAACTTTTAAATGGGATTATAGATAGCCCTGAATTGCTTGGCAGAATTAATTTTCAAGTGCCTCACTAAGAAATAAAAATCTTTTTTATATATGTCACCATAATACAAACTATGGTTATTATGCACCATTACATAGGATGTGCAGAAATGCAAATTCTTTAAATGTAGATTTCTTTGGCAATACTCTCCAGTCCTTCAAAAGGTCTTTAATGTAAAATTGTAATGATTACTTTTGTTTATATCTAATGGTTAATCCGTCAATAAAGATATTTATTTATTTATTTATTTATATATATATATATTATATATTATATAATTATATATAACACCAATTGTTTTTTTATTTTTGCACTATCGTAACTTTTAAGAATTTTTTAAATTTTGGGATACGCAAGATATTTTGGACATAGGTATTGTTAAAAGATTTTGATTTTAATTGGTAAAAATTTTGATAAACTCTATTTTTAAATTCAAACTTCTTAATAAAAACATGCTGTGGCTCCCGTCCCGAGGCGGAAGTTTAGTCCCGAGTGACGTCATAATTTTAAGATTAAATTTTGTTATGTTACGATAAAACTAAAACAAACCAACCAACCCAACCCAACACTTTTTAACAAAGGAACAACAAATTTATAAAATAAAAAAATAAAAAAAGTTCGACAACTTCTAGTAGTATCGAACCATGCCAAGCGACCGCCTTACCACACGGTGGGCTTCGATCAACTTTTAATCAAAAGTGCTTGCACCGATTGGATCTTTTTAAAAATCACTTCTACGATTCCTTACAGGTATTTTAAGATCCGAAGGAAAATATTCGGTAGAGGGATTCCCGAGAAAACTCTTTTTTTGTATGTTATATGGCGTTTTTCGATCTAAAATAAAAAATTTAGGTCCAGAACCTATTTATTAGCAGTAAATTTATTTTTAATTTGCTATTTATTTAAAATGGACATAAAAATTCAAAATAAATTTGATTTTATTTACCGGAATCATGAGGACGAGCAATTTTTTTCACAAACTACGACATTTTGATCTTACTTATTATATTTCCTAGATCCGTTTTACATTGTTTACTATAAAGTATATAATAATAAATGTTTTATTTAAAATATTACAATAATGAATTTAGAAAAATAAAAAACTACTTTAATAATAAGTAACTCTTTAATAATCAATTTTTTTAACATTAATTAATAACCATTAAAATGAATGCAAACCATTATATTCGCAAAGAGCACGTAGAAGTTGTTTTGGGAATTCTGGGTGATTTTTTGTTACTTTATACTTCTCCCATGTATGTTTAAAATTAGCGTGGACAGACTCCATCGCCTGTTCGCTATAAAAACCAAGTCCGGCTCGCATTTTGTCGCAAAAATCGGATACATGAAAAAATACTGCGTGAACTTTGGGTGTTATAGGTATTTCCAACATAATGTAGCTCTCTTTAAATGCATCAATATTTTTTTTGAAATCAGGATCTAGATTTTTACCAAAGCAGCTTTGAACAACATCTCTAAATTTTTCTAAAACAGTTACATATTTTAAATATCCAATATTATGACTTCTAGAACGTAGTAAATCGAGTTTTTCCAACAGTGTTTTACATGAATTGCCGTTAAAATTTGAACTACCATGGCGTACATCGCGAGTCACACAGCATGTTTTTGCCCACTGAAGAGCATCTTGCTCAAATTCTCCAAGCAAATGTTTATATAAGGTGTTTACCACACCTATCATTAAATGCAACTCTGGCGGAGGAATTATTTCTAGAAATTGTTTATCTTGTGGGGTAGAAAAAAGAGGACGATGGACGCAGTTCTTTTAAAATTTTGCATTTGCTTTCTTAGCTCCTGCTAAAGACCATTGATTGTAATTTTCCAATGTATTACTTATAGTTCTGTACGTATCGCAGACCTTCAAATTATTTTTGGATGCATAGCACCAGGTACACGGGTAGTTACTGCTGTGGGACATTATACCAACCAAAATGTTAGCCAATTTAAGATCTGTTGCGATTGTTCCCTTAAAGTTATTAATATTTATTTCAGACCAGAGCTGGGACACATTTTCATAATTTTCCTGAGAACTAGGTGCGAGAGCAAGTATTATTAATTTATTAACACCCGAATCCTTAAAGCGTTTAGCGCAAATACCATCTTCAAATTTCTGCTTGCATTTACGTGAATCTTCATTTTCTACTGTAGACTGAATGGATAAACAAATTTTTAAAAATCCGCCTCCACCATCAATTCCGAACTTCAAGTGATATTGAGACAAAGAACGTTTCTCTTTAATAAACTGTATTAAACCCTCAAGATCTGTGCAGTAAGCGACTGTCTCAGGAGCAGATGAAACTTTGTCAGCTATAACGTGTGTAAAATTAAACGGCTTTGTGCAAAAATATTTGTCTACACAGTGGCTTTTAATTGAGAGCTTACTTTTTAAATATGGCTCCACAATTTTTGCATTTTTTGTGGCTACGCGTACAGCTGCAGCAATTGCTATTGTCTTTTTTTGACTTAAATTTAAACTGGTCTGTAGTTTTAGGAAATCATCCGCAGAAAGGAACTGCTTTTTAACATTATCGTTAATTCTTTGATTAAGTGTTACCTGTAAATGTTTACCGCGTGGTTGAACTAACGATATAGAAGGTGTAGATTTAATTTCTTTTTCATTGAACTTTCGTTTTAGTAAAGATGAGACAACTTGATCAGCATTTTTCGAACCTACGCTTAGGATATATTCCGTCAAGTTCTCCAAGCGCGTAGTCAAGTTACATTTATGAGATAGTCCTTTTCCAATAATTGAGCAGCAATAACTGCAACGACTTTCGATACAACGTATCTTCTCTTTTTCTAAAATAATGTCGAAAGATTAAAAGTTGTAAAGGAATTATTAGAAATGGAGTATTTAAAAGTAGTCATAAAACATTTTAATAAAACAAACATAATAAAATTTGTATTTAAAAAAATAAAGACCATTATTGCAATAAAATTAAGCTAAATTATTTAAATGTTTTAATAAATTCGATACAATATCCTACCTGCAAGTTGTACATTCGTCGTATCGGCCAGTATACCGATTCGTTTAGGCAAAATATTACCCTTTGCGAAATTTCCAGATGCTGGTTTTCGAGCAAGATCACATATATAACAATCACATACAGAGTTGCTAGTTGATCTAGTACACCTCCTAATACGCTTCAGCTCAGAAAATTTTGGCAGTCTTATAGTTTTTTCATTAATACGGTACAGATCTCGTTTGCAACTACTGCACAATACCGCAGGCAGTCGGTCATCTTCGTCTTTATATTCAAAATGTTTCTTAACAAGTAATTTTAGTCCTTCCTTTATGAAAAACATTGTTTTAGTTTTTCCAAAACAAAACAAGCAAACCTGCAAGCGATTTTCTTCGTGCGTTCTTGCTTTCGGCATTTTTAATTTATAAATTTAATGTTTGAGTCAAACAGTTTGACAGCAGTTTATTTATGTATCCAAGGTATTGTGGCAATTATTTATTCGATAAATAAATAGAGATTTATTAAGAGGCGTTTAATAAAAATGTTTATAAGATAATATAATATATTATACCCTATCAGATATACAAAAATCGAGTTTTCTCGCAAAACCCTCTACCAAATATTTTCATTCGGGTCTTAAAATACTCGTAAGGCATCGTAGAAGTGATTTTTAAAAAGATCCAATCGGTGCAAGCACTTTTGATTAAAAGTTAATCGAAGCCCACCGTGACCATCTGGTATTTTTTTTAATCCATTGAAATTTTAATCATATTTAATCAATAAATATTTTTCTTTTTAGAACAAACGTCAAGATAAGAAAAGTCATCTAGAATATAAATTATAATCCTTTTTACATTTTTGAATCATCAAACCACAATAAAAATGGAAAAACCATGGAATTGACTAGAACTTTGATTTTGACCTCAAATAACTTTTGAACCAGTCAAGTTAGCAAAAAATCACAAGAAACCTTTTTTGTAGAACGTTAAATTTGTTGCAAGAATATTTATCCTTCTATATAATCCGTTTATTAGTTCATGACTTAAAAAAATCCAAAGTAATAACAGAACTTTTCCCATGTTATTTCCATTCAAAACTTTGGCTGTCGGGGGGGCCGGCTTAATTTTAAAATTAAGAGCTGCAATTTGGGACTATAGTGAAGAAAAATTCGAACACACCCTAAATAAGGACCACCCTAATATATATATATATATATTAGGGTGATTCATTTCCGCAAAGTTTTTGTTTTTTTTCGGTGCTCAAGCAAAATATTAATCTACCTATAGAAAAAAAAATTTTCACCAAGGTAGAGCTCTTAATATCAATTTTAAGTACTTGCAGTTTAAATTTAAAGTTTTCCCATTTAAAATGCATGTAAAAAAATGGTTTTTTTTTTCAAATTTCTAATGCTTACCCACCTTTGACAATATTGCAAATCGGTTTAATACACCTTATGGGGAATTTCACGCTCTTTAAAATTGCTTTTGAGTTTTTTTTTGTAACTTGCATTGGTTCACCAGTAGGAGTCGTCAAAGGACAGTTTTTGAAAAAAATCTTTTTTTTTTTATTTTTTCGAGCAAATTGCCAAAAGTAGTGAGAAAAAAGGGCTGATTCATAAAAAAAAAGTTATCCAACCAATATTTAATGAATTTACTGCCATTTTTATAACTGAAAACGTAAGAAATTGATAAATACCAACCTATAATGTTATTTAGATTGATTTTTTCTATTTATTATCATTATATTTCCCTCACTCATAATGAATATGAAAACAACCCATACATATTTCAAATTTCGCTTCAAAAAATTAAATAATCTTCATTTATATTTTTTTGCTATTTTTTTATGAATTTATCTGTTGTTTTCATATTCATTATAAGTGAGAAATTAATAATTTTAAAAAACTTCTTAGTTTAGGGAAATATAATGATAATAAATAGAAAAAATCAATCTAAATAACATTATGAGTTGGTAATTATCAATTTCTTACGTTTTCAGTTATAAAAATGGCTGTATATTCATTAAATATTGGTTGGATAACTTTTTTTTTATGATTCAGCCCTTTTTTCTCCCTACTTTTTGCGGTTTGTTAGAAAAAATTAAAAAAAAAAAACGATTTTTTTCAAAAACTGTCCTTTGACGACTCCTACTGGTGAACCAATACGAGTTACAAAAAAAAAACTCAAAAGCAATTTTAAAGAGCGTGAAATTCCCCATAAGGTGTATTAAACCGATTTGCAATATTGTCAAAGGTGGGTAAGCATTAGAAATTTGAAAAAAAAAATATATTTTTTACATGCATTTTAAACGGTAAAACTTTAAATAGTAAGTACTTAAAATTTATATTAAGAGCTCAAACTTGTTGAGAATTTTTTTTTCTATATGCAGATTAATATTTTGCTTGAGCACCGAAGAAAACAAAAACTTTTCTCCCTACTTTTTGCGGTTTGTTAAAAAAAATTTAAAAAAAAACGATTTTTTTCAAAAACTGTCCTTTGACGACTCCTACTGGTGAACCAATGCGAGTTACAAAAAAAACCTCAAAAGCAATTTTAAAGAGCGTGGAATTCCCCATAAGGTGTATTAAACCGATTTGCAATTTTGTCAAAGGTGGATAAGCATTAGAAATTTGAAAAAAAAACATTTTTTTTACATGCATTTTAAATGGGAAAACTTTAAATTTAAACTGCAAGTACTTAAAATTGATATTAAGAGCTCAAAATTGTTGAGAATTTTTTTTTCTATATGCAGATTAATATTTTGCTTGAGCACCGAAGAAAACAAAAACTTTGCGGAAATGAATCACCCTAATATATATATATATATATATATATATATATATATTAGGGTGGTCCTTATTTATATATGAAATTTTTTGTTGTGAAATTCCGACCGTCTCACCCCTTAAAAATTGTTTAAATAGGAATATAATAGGCTGTGTAAAATTTGAGCCCGATCAATCAACTCTAAGACGTGCCTCAAGGGCCTTGTTTTGGTGAAACATTTATTTTTTTATTATAAAAAAACACCATAGTAATAAATTTATTGAACACAAGATATGGTAAGGCAATATAAAAAACCACGTCTAAAGAAATGAATTTAATCTAAAATGTTCTTAAAAGTGCTGTTTTACTACTGCTTGGGAACTTTTTACGGCAGTCCTTAACAACTTTTAAAATAAACTGTTTCTTATCTTCCTTTTCTGTTAAAATACTGTTAAATTCTTCCATAACTTCGACACCTCTTTCGGCCGAGTCATTTACAACTTTAAGCTTTTTGACGATTGACAAACCCTTTTGAAAATTTTCTCGGGAGTTTCAAGTGGACGGATGGTAATTCTAAAACTCACACCCTATTTTAAATCGTGACAACATATTTTTCTTCAAGTATAACACGTTTTAAATTTTGGGAATCGTCCTTATTGCCCTCATCTCCCTGGATTGCTTTTGCAAGCTCAATTTTTGTTTCAATGTTAACGCTTTCGTCGAAAAGCGCCAAAGCAATTGACTCTGCTGTCAAATACCAAAGATGGCCCTTTTATAGCTTTACTTGATAAAACTTTGTAAGTGATTTTATACAAAAACAAATCTTTCAGAAAATTGAAGTCTTGCAGAGGTGCTTTTGCAGCAAACCACGCTTTAATGTAAAGGCTATTAACAAATATCCTTCAATTTCATGCAACGTTAGTAAAACTGGCTCCTGAAGAGGAATATTTTAAAACAATATATAGCCTTTTGCTTCCTATTAAGTAAGAATTAGTTCTTAATTTACGCTTGCAAGCCATTTTAAAATAAGCAACTAAAAAAACTGTGGTGATTTATACCTAAAATAGACAATTAAAACCAGTCCCAACCAACCGTACAGAAATGAAGCAAAAATGTCATCATGTCAGTTGAACCTAAATTTAAAATGATGTGACAGAATTTAAAGGAATTCTTTAATAAATGCTTAAAAAAAAACAGTGTATTAAAATTGTCGGCGAAAGCTCGCACACAATCTACTGCCTCTAATATGTGCTTTCTCCGCCTGGTCTATAATGTACTATTTTACACTTACAAATTAATTTGCGGTGGCACAAAAACTGTTGACCAACTTTTTATTACGATTATCTAACTAGACAAAACAATAGACGCTAAAGATTATACACACAAAGTTAATTAAAGTCGGAAGCCAACGTATCCACGTTCTCCGGGTTGACACGCGTCTTAGCCGTCTTAATGCGCGTTTAAGAATGGCCATCTCACCCCCTTGAGGGTTAGTACATTTACACCTTTTTAGATCTTTATCTCCACTTTCCCATGAGACCGAATAACTAACCAAATTGTTATTCCAATAAACAGGCTAATCAAATTAATGTATATTTTCCGACATATTTATGCTGCATAGCATTTCAAAAATAAGGGGAGCTGTTATATGTGATAAAATGATGATACCATAGACTTTACGAGAGTCATATTTCGTTATCTAATCGGATAAGATATGGATATGGAATTATCTGGGAAAGACAGACAATTAATATCAAATTTTAAAACTATACTTTTGATTAAAGTAGATGAAGATACTTCCATTGAAAACTTAAATGTAATTTATCTAATACCGAAGCTATTTTAGAAGCTACGGAAATTGATAAAGTACGTCTACCTAATGCTTTAGTCAAAATTATCGCTAATGATGAATTTTTAACATCAGTTTTAACCTCAACAAGTTAACTGTGGATGACAAATACCTTTTACCGAACATATTCGACCTCCTTGATCAACTGTGTAAATGCCAGTATTTCTCAACATTGGACCTTGCCTCTGATTTTCACCAGATTAAAATCGACCCCAAAGATATTCAAAAGACCGCTTTCTAGAAAATTGCCATTTTGAATTTGTTAGGATGCCCTTCGGATTGAAAAATGCTCCATCAACGTTCCAAAGAGGGATGGATAACATTTTACTGGGAAACAAAATGTACTATGCTTAGTCTACATGGACGACATCATCATTAATTCTCCCACTATCCACAAGCACCTAAGACGTCTAACAGCCGGATAAATGCGATTTTCTACAACAAGAAGTTGCTTATCTTGGTCATTTAGTCACCAAGGACTGTGTAAAACCTAACCCATCTAAAGTAGATTGAATTGTAAATTTTCCCGAACCTTCTAATCAAAAAGAAATCAAGTCCTTTGTCGGTCTAGCCGGATATTATCGAAGATTCATTTCTAAGTTCGCCGAAATTTCAAAACCTCTGACAAACCTTCTGAAAAAGACATTAAAATTTTGACGCTGAATCTTTTGAGAAACTAAAAAATTCTTTAATTTCAACCCCAGTTTTAATTTACCCAAACTTTCATGAACCATTTTTCATTACTACTGATGCGAGTGCCTTTGATATCGGAGCAGTACTCTCCCAAGGCCCCATAGGTAA